ATACTCTGAATAAGCGACTTATCCACACGACGTGCGAAACTGTAATGCGAGTCTGCTGGTAATGCAAAGTCAGACCTTGTTTATGATTGGTATATACGACCTATGAAGACCCTCTGTGTCTGTCTGTAAATTAAGACTGTTGTTTTGTTTTTTGATGTTCAACATTTCAGAAACCAAGCGTTTATTATAACAAGGTTCCTCGTCTAAGATTTGAATATTATTCCAGTTGAAATCATGTCCCAATTGTAATCTATGATCCGTGATCACCGATCTCGAGCTGGTATTCCACCGTATATGGTTGCGATGTTCCGTGATTCTCGTTTTTAATCTTCTTCCCGTTTGCCCCACGTAGGAAGCGTCACAGTCTTTACAATCTATCTTATATACAACATTAGACTTCGACAGAGAATCTAATCGGTCTTTTTGAACCTTTATGTATTTGTTCAATTTATTAGCGCTAAAATACGATACTCTGATGTCGTTCCTATTAAACTGCTTAAATTTTTCCGTAAGTACTGGAATGTACGGTACCGTAAACCACGAAGTGACCGTCCTTGATTCATCGTCATCGTTCGAAATATTCGTGTTAATTAATTTATTATGTCTGATAATTTTAATTCTATTATTGATACATTCAAATATGAATTTAACCGGAAAATCATTTTTAATTAGTATGTCAATAATGAGATTTATATTTTTAGAATGAAATTGAAAATCTGATAAACATAATGCTCTATCAACTAAGTTAATTATAATGCCTCTCTTTTGAGAAATCGGATGGTTTGAGAAAAAAAAAATTTAAAAATCTCCCCGAAAATGTAGGTTTATGATACCAATCGAAGGATAAAAAATTGTTATTAATGCTAATCGAAATATCAAGAAAATTGAGAGACTTATCACCCACTTCCAATATAAACTGTAGACGTTGATGAAACGAATTGAATGTATCAAGAAAGGAATCTATTTTAGTATCTTGAACAGCCGCGCATAAATCATCTACATATCGATAGTAAAACAGGCAACTATCTTTGAACGACGTCAAAACTGATTCCTCCAGTCTTTGCATTACACAGTCAGCAACGATGGGAGACAATGGTGACCCCATGGGCGTGCCAAAATTTTGTTTAAAAATCACATTATCAAAATAAAAATAAGTTGAATTTAAAATAAATGTAATTGCTCCAAGAAATTTAGTTTTTGAAATAATACATTGAAATAATACAATCTTAGCGATATGCGACCATTTCTCGTTTATGCAATCAATAGCCAAGTCCATCGGTATATTGGTGAATAAAGAAACTACGTCTAAAGAAATCAATTTGTAATTATCTCCGACATATTTACCTCTTAGATTATTAACTAATTGAGCGCTATTTTTTATGTGGTTATTTGTTTTGGGTAAAGACTCTACCAGAATGTTTTGTATGTAAGAAGCGAGCATGTACAGAGGACTACCGATGGACGAGACTATGATTCTGAATGGAATATTTTCTTTATGAATTTTGGGAAGTGCATACGCCCTTGGTAACATCCCATCGCTGTTATATAACATTTTGTATTTAGAGTCTGAAATATAGTTATGTCTCTTCCATCTCGACAGCAATTCCTTAAGTGACACAATAAGTTTTTTTGTGGGATCTTTTTTTATTACAGTGTAAGTGTTTTCGTCTCTAAGCATTAAATTTACTTTATTTATATAATCATCCCTATCAAGCATGACTGTTACATTACCCTTATCCGCATGGGTACATATGACATTGGGATGAGACACCATAAACTTTTTTGTGTCACTTTCTAGCTCCAACAGATTCTCCTCCATGGTAGTTAGATGTATCTTACTCGAAGCGATACTGTTTAAAATCGGTAACGAATGATTCGTGATATCTATCCTCTTATCTAAAGGCATTCTCCGAGTATTATATTCTATGTTCTTAATACAATCAAAAATAATGTTCTTCTTATTGGTTGTAGGCAATGCGAAATTTCCTCCCAATTGTAAAAAGCATTGTACATTTTTCGGAATATTCTCAGAGGATAAATTCACGAACCAGCCGTCACGAAGCGAATTAACAGATGGAGGAGATACCGTTGACAAAAAGGAACCAGGAAATATAACTTCCATAGGTTTTCCATCAACATTGGTGGAAATAGTCTCCGGTTTAAGTGGCAATACAATAGGCTTTATACTCATGTTTTCCTTCTTTCTATGTATGTCAATTTATTTTTTCCTCTAATCTTTTTTTTTCTCTAATGTAAAAGTGATAACACGATCTTTCTTGATTATTATTTAAATAATAATTAAAATAATTAATATTTTATGTATTGTTACATCCAAGCCCTTGGAAATACGTTTAAACGGGAGAGACAAGGATGGAGTTGGAGAGGGTATGGAAGGACGCTCCCCCGCCAAGTCGGAAGCTATGTTCTTCCACGACGGGACTGG